TAAGAGCTTACTGTTGGGTTCCAAACCTGGTTCTAACAAGTGTTAGCCATGTAACTTTGGGGAGTTATTTTACCTCTCAAAATCTCATAATTATGTGGCCACTAATGAGGGTGAAACCTTGTTGGAGAAGGCACTGCCATGGCTCACAAATGGCAGGAAAGTAGCTCTGGTGCCATCCTACAAAACTTGCTAGAAATTCATCCTCTAGAACTTTTGGGAACCACCACTCCCCCCTTTAGGGTACTGTGGAAAAGCTGCTCAGTGGGGAAGCCCTTCCCTGGAGGTACCCTGGTGTGGTCGCCAACCCACAAGAATCAAAAGCAAAATCCTTCTGCAATGTCTCTCCAGCACCCTCTATTGACAAAGCCTAACATCGTTCCACTTGGCAAAGGAAAAATATGTAAAGGGCCCAGATTAATTTTTACAGACGAGGCAAAAAGGAAGAATTTGGAGGGATAAAACCAATAACTAGCACAAGCATGATTCTGTAATATCTTTAGGGGCTGATAATACTGATAATTTCAAGCTGATAGTGTCCAAATAAGCTGAGGTGGCCCATCTTGGGTCTGCACACTGCTGTTTGTCCTCTGCAGAGGAGTCATTCTGAAAGTCTAGTCCCTGGGTCAGTGTTGTCAGCGTCACATGGGAACTTGTCAGCAACACAAATTCTAGGGCCTTATTGCAGGCTTACTGAGTCAGAAGCTCTGGGGTTGGGGACCAGCAGTCTGTGTTTTAACGAGCTGTCCAAGTGATTCTGGTACCTGCGAAGGTTTGAAAACCACTGGTACAACAGTAAGTTCTGGGAACTTGGTGTGCACGCTGGGAAGGAAAAGTCAATACAAATTTCTTTATCCAAACTTTAGTCTCAAGTTTTAATCTTGAAGAATATGACCTAACTTCTTTGGGATCTGGAAGTTGGCAGGGAGCATCTTATTCTATTTCTGCTTTCTCACGGATGACGTTTCTGGACTTGTAGGCATGAACGTATCAGATATGCTCAATTTGGTAAGAAAGTCTCTTGCTGATGCTCTCTTATATGCAACTCACACTTGATTAGAGCCCCAAGCCCACTATTGAGATTTCCATCTATTTCTGTGTATATGCAAAAAAGGGAGTGTAATGCTCACTTTACTTTTTCCATATCAGTGCATTTCTCCCTAACTCTCCACCCTGGTTGGAGTGTTGGAAACAGCAAGAACCACAAGCCTAAGGTCAGCAAAAAGAGCAGCATGGAGCACACGTTAGCTTCCCACTGCTCCTGAGCAGGCCCGTCTCCTTGACTAGGCTCTAATAGCCCAGAACAGAAAGCTTCAGGTTTCCCTGACTCAGCTCTTGTCTTCCCAGGCTCCTCAATTTGCAATCCTCAAAGGAGAGAGGCCAGATGATGCAGTCTGGCCGACTTTTCTGCCCTTCTTTGCTTCAAAATTAAAAATGTGTGTGTGTGTGCATATTTGAGCACATACACAGTTTGTGGATCTGAGGTATGGGTATTGTGGCCTGGCCCTCGTCCCGCCACTAACTAGCTGCATGGGGTCAGGCAGGTCACCGGCTCTGGTTTTAATTTCTGTGCTGAAATACAGAATGTAGGACCCGCTGATACTGCTCCAACATTTTATGATTCTGTATACCACCACAAGCATGTCCTGAAAAGGTTAACCTGGGTTTGAATCTCACCCTCTACTGTGACAGTCTGTGCATAGGTCCTTTTTAATTCCTTCCTGTTTGATATTAAGTATGATGAAACCTACAACAAATTCACCTAAAAGGATTGAGGTTACTTATGCACAGAGAGTGAAGACTTCAACAGGTTTGCTCTAATAAGCAATGATTTTTAAAGATGTGGTAATCTTCCAGTTAGTATTTATCTTTCATGGCCCCACAAACTGCATTTTTAAATCCATAAATAAGTTTCCTTAAAGTATCGCACTTTCCTGATCCTTCAAGCTTAATGATAAAGGGAAAGCACAAGAAAAATTTCAGTAGAATAGTTTTTATTTTGTAAACACTAATGTATTAAATTTGCTATACATCAAAGCAAATAATATATATTTTTATTTGAATTGTATATATGAATTGGATGTTATAACTAGTTGATTTTTTCATTGTGTTAGAGGTATTTTCACCGAACAAGGTCAATTGGTTACCTCAGTATTACAGTCAATATAGCCCAAGGGACCATTCTCCCCAAGTCTGTGTTGTACTTTATTATGTGAAGTTGCATTTCTGTGACTCTGTTGGTGAGGTAGGATGAGTGCACTTGCTTCTTGTGGTAATAAATTTTTTCTGTGCCTCACAAAATGAAACAACAACAGAAACAGGTTTGCTTCTTTCAATATATAAAGAGCATATGCCTTTTAAAATAGATACAATGTCCCATCAACTGTGTGGGTAAGAGGAGATGCAGTGTGAAAATGCATAGCTAGAAATGAGGCACTGGGAGTCTTCATTTCAAATTTCCAATTTATTTCTCACTGATAGTAGTAAGCAAAAAGATAATTATTTCCTCTCAAAATGTTTTGACTATTTCTATTTTTAATGTCTGTTAAGCTTTTTTGTCTCCCTTTCAAGGTAAAGAGTCTTTCTCTGACCTATTTTCACATGCTGAAATGGGGAGAAAAGTCAAGTGTAATGATCTTCAATCAGCAGGGACATCTCTCTCTGCTGGGCAGTGGGGGCAGAAAAGAGAGTATTTCAGAAATTCTTGGAAATGATGTTTAAAAAATTATATCTAGACTTCTCTTCTAAAAAAAATTCCTGTTTTGAGAATAGTAATTTGGAATTGGAGCAATCCAAGCTTGATAAAATCATGGCCAGGTAAGGTAGGAAGAGGAGAGTTTGAGGTAGGCACTTTGGGTTGCTCACTTGTTCCCTCCTCCTTAAAAGAGGCTTGATTTTGTTCCCGTGGCAACATGCCCAGACAATGAATCATAATTGGTTCAAATCTGTCATGACATCCTCTGTGTCACCTCCCTTGCAGTGGGAAGTGGCCATGTGAGCCAGTTCTGGCTCCAGAGACATCTGAAGAAGGTTGCTGGGGACACCACTGGGTGACTTTGGGAGGCATGTGGCTGTCTGTGTCTCCCTATGCCTTGATAGATGATGCTATGTCAGGAATCTCAAATGCTTTCCTGTGATCTTCTGGTGATAAGTTCACAAGTCAAGGATGGAAAATCCTGGCTTTTTAATGATATCTCTAAAAGATTTTATTTATTTGAGGCAGGAATGAGGGAGAGAAAGAGAGAATGAATGGGGGATGGAGGGAGAAGCAGACTCCCTACTGAGCAGGGAGCCAGACTCACAGAGTTCCATCCCAGGATCCTGGGATCACAACCTGAACCAAAGGTTAGACTGAGCCACTCAGGCGTCTCCTTTTTATGATTTTTGAATTGCTGCAAAAGCAGAGGTGCCAGATAAAATACAGGACAAATCTGAATTTCAGAAAAACAACAGCCTTACATATGTAGTATTTGAGACTTATTTATGCTAAAGTTATTTATAAGTAACTACAGAGTATCTGAAGTTCAAATTTAACTGTGTGTCTTCTAATTGTGTTTTGTTTTGTTTTTTCCCTAAATCTGACAACTCTATGTACAAACTCTGGACTGCCTGCTTTGAACTTAAACAACAACAACAACAAAAAACAACCAGTGAGTTTAAGTTACTACTCCTCAAATGATATATTGGTTGCCTGTGAATTCATTCTTGATGTAATAGGAATTTACCTTTGTACCCAATATTTTTTGTGTGTTCATCACATGCTAGACATGTGCTGATTCTCAGGGGTGTGTGTGTAAATAAGTCACAGTGGCAAGGCCTGCCTTCATGGAGCTTCTATGTAGCTGGAGAGACTGCCACAAAATGAGCGATTCTGCATGTGATAGTATAATTACAATAGTGCTTTGAAGGACAAGTAGGGGAGCCTTGAGAGCATCTCAGAGGGAAGGATGAGAGAAGTCTTCCTTGAGTAGGACCTCAAGGCACTCTGAAGGAGGGGCAGGGTTGGAGGGAAGGGTTGTGGAAGTTCACTCTGAGCATCTGGAATGCGGCAGGAAGGGTCCTGGTAACTCTGAGGAGAGGAGGTCACGGCACTGAACAGCAAAAAGCTGAGTGATGGGCAATGAGAACAGACAGGCACAGAGAAGCTGGTTCAGGGAATGCCTTGGAGGCCATACTAAAGATTATGAACTTGAGCCTTATTCTATGCTACGGTCAGATATCACATATCTGCATATCATCTTACAAAGAAGAAATAAAGGCTTTCAATAGTTTGAAATAAAGACTTCCCATAATTCAATCAAGTCATAACAGCTATCAGGTGGAAGAACCGCCATTTGGGCTTTGTTGTTTTTTGCTTTCTGTGTAGTGTGTGTCATCAAAAACTTCCTAATTATCATTGAGTACAAACTAGTTAGAAATACAGAAAAGGGACGCCTGGGTGGCTCAGTGATTGAGCATCTGCCTTTGGCTCAGGGCGTGATCCCGGGATCCTGGGATCGAGTCCCACATCAGGCTCCCTGTGGGGAGCCTGCTTCTCCCTTTGCATGTGTCTCTACCTCTCATTAGTAAATCAATAAATAAAATCTTAAAAAAAATACAGAAAAAATGAGAGCTGATAAAACGAATCTGTAAAGACCAGTTAAAGTCATTGTAACAATATGTTTATATTTGTAAAGATTTAAAGGATTGGGAGTAATCCACCTGTTAAAAAACAAGAGGTTGATCAGTACAGTAGATAATCTGAATTCCAGCATTGAAAGAGGCTTCAAAATATTATATAATTCAGATCTCCTGTCTGTTCTTTTCAGTGAAAGGAACATCATGTAAGTAACTGTAACTGATTTCTGTGACTTTAGACCTTTGGTTTGACAGAAAAATAAAACACAGAGAAAATATTCCCTGTTATAACAAAGTATCAACACAAGTAACACAATGATCCACTGGTTTTACATATATGTAAGAAAGAGTAACAAAACACACACACAAAAAGACACTCTGGTAAGTGACTGCTACTCCTGCCAAAGGCTTTATTTGCAGGAAATAGGCATTGGTATTGGATGGTAATGAATATTATAGAAAATCTAAAAATAGAAAAATATCAGTGTGCATTGAATCTAAGGCAAATGCTTTATGATATATGAGGGGTGTGTATATATACACACACATCACATACATACACATACCTACGTAAACACACATAGACAAGCACAATAGATTACATATATACTGGATTGTGATGTAAATATTATTTTGTACTCTGGGTCCCATTCAGAAAAGTTTGACAATCATTGGTCTAGAGAAATTGACTCATTTGTGAGTTATGCTATTTCTCTACTCTGTGGAGGGAAAACAAGTCATTAAGGTAAATTCCTGTCCAGTGGTGTGGATAACCACTTACTGTTCCACATGTCAGGGAAACCATGTGTGATAACACAAACAAAGGAACCAACAACTGTTATCATACCAAAGTACATATTGTATCTTGGTTAAGATCCTCAAACATACTCCTTAGAGTTTCCTAATTCATCTGAGGAAGGACTCAGTGCACTCCATCTTTATGTTGTTACTTGCAAACCTTGAAAACAAATACAAGTAGAAAGAAATTAATAGAGAATTCCAATTCTCATTTTGTTAACTCTTCGCACATAACAACAGTAAATCTTAATAGAATATTAAGATTACAGGGAATCTGGAGCCAGAAATGCTGCTTTTCCATAGAGAACCAAATAGAGACCATGTCTCATTCTTTTAATCCTTCGACTAAATTTAAGCCCATCTTAAGATACCAGACATCTAATTTCATTTGCAATTGGTATAATACTTATTGGCTTCAAGGAATGAAACAGTTTGCAAATTAGAAGAATATCACAGAGGGTGGCTGGTTGTTGTAGAATTACTACTACTACAAGGAGTGTTATCCTCTATTTAGAAAGAGTATGAGTAATTTTGCTCTTTTTTCTTAAACCAAGGAAGCCTAGCTGAAAACTTGGTGACTTTGGCTTGAAACTCAATGATAAACCTATTGTATTCATAGTATAGAGTTCATGTCAGAGAAACAAATTTTTTTGGTGTAGTATTTAATTTCTGAAGTATATACATACAAATATGATTATATTCTATGACCAAGCAAGTGCTACTTCTGAAAAACTTTAATTCCAGAAGAAGGAAACAAGTCATATGTGCAGATATTTTTACAGCATGTTATTTGCCAATGTGAAAAACTTGTAGCAGTACTAAAAACTCAACAATTGTGAAAAGGATCATTAATCCTATGATAATTTGGGCTACTATATTATATATTAGGTCATTATACTATTACTTTTAATTAAAGATTATATTTTAAATTTGATATAGAAAAATACCAAAAGAAAAATTAAATTTTATTTTGTAATTTCTTATTTCTTTGATTTGAAACAAGACATATGACATCTTTCCTCTGCACTGAGATGTCAATGCCAAGTCTTAAAACTCACTTTTAATAAGCAAAGTAGAACTCAGCCCAGATTCCTTTAACTGGAAGAGCTGTTTAGTTTGACTCAGTTTCTTTTTTTTTTTTTTAATTTTTATTTATTTATGATAGTCACAGAGAGAGAGAGAGAGGCGCAGAGACACAGACAGAGTGAGAAGCAGGCTCCATGCACCGGGAGCCCGATGTGGGATTCGATCCTGGGTCTCCAGGATCGCGCCCTGGGCCAAAGGCAGGCGCCAAACCGCTGCGCCACCCAGGGATCCCGACTCAGTTTCATAATATAATAAACTCTATAAAGTTCCTTTAAATATTAAATACTAATGTAAAAGTAGAAATGAGCATGGTGATGAACCATGTAACCATATAAGACTTATGTGAACAGCAAAAATATTGGATGTGTACACATTAAGATGTTAATATTGCTGATTGGTGGGAATTCAAGTGATTATTTTCTCTCTTTTTCATATTAAAACTTTTTGCATAGTTAATATGCTTTTATAATGAGATGGAAATACACATTTTTTTCCCCTTATTCTTTCTACATGTGGGAGCCAATCTCCCGTCAAGTCTTGCCAGCTTCTATCTAGTATATGTGGCAGAGTCAGGCTCCCTTGAAAACCTAACAAGTATGCCAGAGAGCAAATCCCCACTATGAAAATAAACTCTCTCAAAAGGAGTTTGGATATTCTGGTGGCTAGACAGCCTTGTCATTGTGAGAATAGGTTATGGTTACATTTTGCCTCAAACACTGAATTTAAACAAGGATTAAATTAAATGTATAACTTTATGTTCTTACTCTCTTGGGTCATTTGTTTCATTAATAATTAAATTCAAACTCTGCTCCATCTCACTGTTATTATTTTATCACAATTCTGATTTTATGTATTTAGAATGGAAGGTTAGTTCAGCAGGCTTATGAGAGGTTATGAGGAGACTGCAGAGTAGTCCGCTGGAACCTCAGAAAGGCCTTTGCTAGCTCAGCCCCCGACCGTGGGTTAAACCAGGCCATGCCGAGGATCCCTCCAAGCAGCTTTGCCAGGGCACCATGGTTGCAAGAACTGGGAAAGGTGTTAGGTTACTATAAATAACACCATCACTTATTTATGCAACTAGAAAAAAAAAACTAATATAGATCTTAAGAGGTAAGAAAAGCTGATCTGCTTTGGATTTTGTCTCATCTTAACATGTGTTTTTTTGTTGTTGTTGTTTTGTTTTTTCTACTCAACTTTATCTGATATCTAGAACACAAGCAAGATAGACTTAAAAGGTAAGGTCCTTTTAAAGGTCCTTACTAGCCTCTAGGACATAAGCAAGGAAAGAGGAGGGTTGCCACACACATGGACATGTACTTTCTTGTGGGCTTTCATTAGCTGAGATCAAGAGTCAGACACTTAACTGACTGAGCCACGCAGGCACCCCTTCTTGTGGGCTTTCAGTGTCCATCAAAACATACCTGTTGTTCTTGGGCCTCGGAACAGATGGCAGAGGCTGGCATTTGGCATGGAATGAAATGCAGTTTGCCTGAGCTACTGATTAAGGCTCCTTTCATCTTTATCAGGAGATGGATCACAAGGCCAAACTCCAAAGTATGACTTAGTCACTACAAAAATGGACGTAAGCACTGGCCATTATCAAGAGGATGGAAAGGTATGGGTGTCCAGCTGCTATAACACCCTCAAGTATCTCGTTAGGGTCAGAAAAGGAGCCAATAACTCTCAGAAGAGTGGCTCTGGCTCAGCTGCTATCTATCATTTATGAAGGCTGAACTCCTTCTTCCCTTCACCCCACACTCTTTACAGCCCTTCATGTTGGTGCCCTGAGCTTCCCTGCCTTTCATCAAAGTAACAGACGAGCAGGGATGGGCAGGCATATCTGCCAAGGACTATAAGTTCCACTTAGGAGAAACTTTAAAATGGTTCTGAAGTTTCTTCAAATGCGTTCATGCCCACAGGAAGGGCTGATCCCAAAATGAGGAGTGTGTGGGATCAATGGGCTGGTTGGGCTTAATCCCCTCATAAGATAGGAATTTACTGAGAACAAAAGAAACCTAATTCTTGTCAAGAGATGATGACATCTGGACTAGGGTAGTTGCTTCTTAAAAGCATGTCCTATTCTGCACTGCAGGAGTGACTCCCACTGTCTCCTGAACAAGATGGTTGTATTTTGCATGTGTTAACCATGAAAACCCTTTGATTAAAAATAGTTCAAATATTATAGCAGCTGGACCCCAGCCTGCTTTTTCATCCTCCTTATGGTTTCTACTTCCTGCTCTGCTTTTCCTTTGTGGAATTTCTCCTGCTAAACAGGAGAGAAGATGAGTACACGGTCCATCCCTAGCCAATCAGAGTGTGCCACCTCCCTGGCCAAAGTGGTGAGGTTAGCACAAGCCACATGACCCAAGCAGGACCAAACAAAATCTTCCCTGGGACTTTCTAGCTGAGCTAAAATGCAAAACTGCTTTTTACAAAACTGTTTAAAATTCTTTTAGTGAGAATCATATAAAAGCTCCTTGGAACCCAATACCCAGCTTCAACATTTATCAACTCATGGGAAATCTAGAGAAAGGATAAACTGTCTTTTTCTACTGGGGATTTTGCACGGAGGAGAATGCTGCTGCCAACACCCAACATATCTGTCAGTGGAGAGAGTCTGACTTCCAAAGAAACCCAAATACAACGTGGAATTGTGGCAGAGCCTTGAAGGTTATATTTGAGCTCCTTAACCCAGCGAGCCTGAAGCCATAGCTACCCCCTGTGCTTTCTGCTTAAGTCAGATTAAGGAGGGTTTCTGGTACTTGTAAAATGTGTCATCTAATATGAAAACTTTAAAGAAACATTCAATAAATATTTTTTTAATATCGTGTGTTTATTTTTGAGGGATTTGGGAAAATAAATTCATGGGAAATCTTTAAGAGTAATAAAGGAGAAGAGGTGCTCTAGACATATTAAAAAGAGATCACGAGCCTTTTAACTTCACTCTGCCCAAAGGATAATTTCAGTCCCACTGAAATAATAGCCATCTACTAAAAAACTTAAACTATGTAATGTAAACTTCATTAAGGGATGTAACAATGGGTGGATATTTTTACCCTTAAATAAAAAAAACCCTCATAAAAAATAATCAAGTCCCCAAACCCATTCTTTAAAGCAATGAATGAATGCATACAATCACTCCTATATGAGCATTCTGGTAAACCATTTGTGGGTATGTAATGAACTCTTCCTGGCTGTTCCTTCACCATCCACATACTTACACTTTTGCTTTGCTAGTTCTTGTATTAGATCTTCATACACTTGTGTAAAGAGTTCCTCTTCGGATTTTGTTCCATCTAGGTAAACTAAGGAGAAAGGAGAGCAGTTCAAAGGCCAATGGGTCTATTGGTAGAGGATTCTAACTCTGGCACCTGACATCTCCTAAGAATACTAATAGGTTTAGGGGCACCTGGGTGCCTTAGTCAGTTACATGTCTGACTCTTGATTTTGGCTCAGGTCATCATTTCAGGATGGTGAGATCAAGCCCCGTGCCACATTCTGTGCTGGGCATGGAGCTTGCTCTACCCTTTCTCCCCTCAAAAAAAAAAAAAAAAAAAAAAAAAAAAAGAATACTAATAAGTTTAAATCAAGAACACAAGACCTTAAACACTTATAAGATTTAAAAGACTGCTTAAAAATGAAACCTTTAATCAGAAAACTGGAGGTAAGAGAGAGAGAGAGAAGTTTGAATGTTAAGAAAAGGATGCATAGTTTGGGAGGACTTGAATGTGGGAGCAGGTATCCTGGAGAGATGAGATTTGACAGCAAGGCTGTCTATGCCTTAGTCTTCAGGGGACTCGAGGTCTGTTTGGCCTTTAATCCAAAACACTGGACTCTCTTTGCAGGTTAAGCAAAGTGGGGTCATGGTTAGATTGGCCTTTTTTTTTTTTAAGGTTTCATTTTTAAGCAATATCTCTACCCAACACAGGGCTTGAATTCACAACCCCAAGATCAAGAGTTGCATGTTCCACCCACTGAGCCAGCCAGGTGCCCCTAGATTGGCAATTTAGGTGGAGAGGGAGAGAGGAGCACCCTCCATATCTGTTCTGTCACCCTGTTCTATTGAGCACATACATCTCCCTCTCACATTGCCAAGGGAATCTGAGTAAAATCAGAATTTGGGGTGATCTCTGGGTGGCTCAGCGGTTTAGCACCTGCCTTTGACCCAGGGCATGATCCTGGAGTCCCGGGATCGAATCCAACATTGGGCTCCCTGCATGGAGCCTGCTTCTCCCTCTGCCTGTGTCTCTGCCTCGCTCTCTTTCTGTCTCTCATGAATAAATAAAATTAAAAAAAAAAAAACCACCAGAATTTGGTATCTACCATGTCCTTGTTTAAAACCTCTCTGTAGAAGAAAAAAAAAAAAAAACCTTTCTGTAGGGATGCCTGGGTGGCTCAGTGGTTGAGCATCTGCCTTTGGCTCAGGGCATGATCCTGGATTCCCGGGATTGAGTCCCATATCAGGCTCCTTGCATGGAGCCTGCTTCTCCTCCCTCTCCCTGTGTCTCTGCCAATCTTTCTGTGTCTCTCATGAATAAATAAATAAATAAAATACATAAATAAAACCTCTCTGCAGAGGGCTTCCCACTTCTCCTCAGATAATGACCCAAGTCCTTAACTTGCCTATGACCTTGTAGAGTTGAGATCTTCCTCATGTCTCCAGCATCTCCCCCATCCCCCTCGTGGTTTTCTCTACTGAAAATACACCAACCTTTCAGGTGCTATTCCCGCCTTCCTGTCCCTGGCCTTTTCGTGTACTGTCTGGGATGCTCTTTTGTCCCCCCCCCCACCTACCTCCCTTTCCTGTTAAACCCTTCAGAGTGTGGTTTAAGTGGTTCCTCAAGGAAGCCCTCCCTGATTGCTGGGCCTCAGCTAGTCCCCCGGAACTTGGTATCACAGCACCTGGCATAGCTGGAAAGGACATGCTCATGCAGCTAGTATTTTTAACATTTGTTTCCCTGATAGAATGTTGGCTCATAAGAGTAAGGGCTGAGTTTGTCTTATTTTCCTTAATATCAATAGGGCAGTACCTTGTACACAGAAGGCATTCAATTCAATATCTGTTTCATGAATGACCATCTAGAGGTTGACAGGCTTTGACAAAAGCCTTAGAGAAACAGAAACCAGGACAGTCAATCATGGAAGAGCCCAGAGTGTTCTGGCTTAAAGAGTTCTTTTATAATGTAATTCACGAAAAAGATGCCTCCTAAAAATCCTTTCTCTCATGGACTTCGAGCAATGACAAGTAAAGGCCTTCTGTGGAGGGAGAGAAGGCGCTTACCAATGTCCCGGGTGATGTTCTCCATTTCTTGTCTGTGCTTTAGATACATGGGCCACACGTGGCCATCAAAGTACCCTGAGGCATCTGGAGGCTTGTAGACCCTTTTACTATGAAAACACACAGGAAACTTAATGTGCACAGAGACATAAAATTGATAAAGTAAAATAATAATGGTCAGGGTGATGGGAAAAATCACTGAGACTTAATCTAAACAGAATTAAGAGTATATGTTTTAGATTCAATACTAATTAGAAGACAGCAGAACTGATTTAGTTTTCTGATCCAAAAAAACTTCTTTTGTAATTCACTATCATTCATAATTATCTCCTACTACAGTGCTTTCTGAGAGAATGAAGAGACAAATATCAATGTGAATAATGACAGAGAACCTGATAGATTGGATTAGGCTTTCAATTAATTGGGTGTTCTTTGTGGCTGTCACAGAATAATGGCTCTCAAATTTAAAATCAATCAACATGGGATTGCTGCATTTGGAGATATAGGAAAGATGAGTCAAATGGTCCGTAGAAGGGCCTTTTCTTAGAAAAGCAATTTGCATTACCCCACGTGGATGACCATTTCTAGAAAAAGATTTTTCTCTTTGTGTAGAAGAGACCAGGCTTTTCTTGTTTGAAAAATGACATATACACATTGCTCAATCATGTTCTTTCCTCATTGTTCCTAAATTTTGTCTTTTAAAAAATGAAAAAAAAAAACTTTTTCTTAAAGAAATTAAAAAAGGGATCCCTGGGTGGCGCAGCGGTTTGGCGCCTGCCTTTGGCCCAGGGCGCGATTCTGGAGACCCCGGAACGAATCCCATGTCGGGCTCCCGGTGCATGAAGCCTGCTTCTCCCTCTGCCTATGTCTCTGCCTCTCTCTCTCTCTCTCTCTGTGTGTGACTATCATAAAATAAATAAAAATTAAAAAAAATTAAAAAAATTTTACTTAAAAAATTTTATTTTTAATTTAGTATGGTTGGCATACAATGTTAGTTTCAATTATATAACGTAGGGATTTGACTTCTCTATAGGTTATGCTATATTCACCATGAGTGTAGATACCATCTGTCACCATACAGTGCTATTATAAATACTACTGATCCTATTCCCTATGCTGTACTTTCTATCCTCATAAATTTTGTCTTTTCAATTATAATCCACAAAGGCAATATCAAAACTCACCTCCTCCTCCTCTTACATTCTTCATATGGAATCGTCAGAAAATAGCTTCTGTTCCATAGAGTGTCTAGAGGCCTACAATAACAGCATGTTTAGTTTACCAAGTTTTCACCCCATTCATTCAGAATCAATATTAGGTTGAGGATGCTTACTTATAATTAAAGAGAAGGAAGCCTTCGATGATTAATATGGGAATTTCTTCGGTGCTTCCAGAGTCTGTTGATGGGTTTTCCATCCAGCAGGAAATGGTGGACATCATTTCATCCATATTAAGCGCTTCAAGCACTTCAAACAAATATACAAAAATATGAAATCAATACAACAAAAGATTTATGATGTGGCTTTTTATTATGAGTATATCCAGGGCTATATAAATATATAGAATAGCACTATTTAATTTACCCTTCAAAATACCTAATAACAAATATTTCAGAAAAATTTAAATTCTATTACTGACAAATTGGTATGTTTGAAACATTTTTAATATGGAAAATTTCAAATACATATAAAAGTAGAGAGTAGAGTACAATGAACTCCCATGTCCAGCTTTGGCAATCATACATTCATGGCTAATATTGTTTTATTTATAATGTCTATTCCCTCCTAACTAGATCAAAGTTTAACATATTTGGATGACAAAATATCTATAAATTAGTGAAAGATAAATGATATACTGGGGAAAATATCTGCAATATATGTAGCAAAGAACTAAAATACATATCTTTTCTTTTAAGATTTTATTTATTTATTTGAGAGCAAGAGAGCAAGAGAGCATGAGTGGAAGGTGCAGAAGAAGAGGAAGAAAGAATCTAAAGCAGACTCAGCCCTGAGCACAGAGCCCAGCATGGGGCTTGATCCCAAGACCATGAGATCATGACCTGAGCTGAAATAGTCAGACACTTAACCAACTGAGTCAGTCAGGCTCCCCAAGAGCTAGTATCTTTAATATATAAAGGGCTCTTACAAGTAAATAGGAGGAAAACCATTAGAAATTTTATAAAGGGGGGATCCCTGGGTGGCGCAGTGGTTTGGCACCTGCCTTTGGCCCAGGGCGTGATCCTGGAGACCCGGGATCGAATCCCACATTGGGCTCCCAGTGCATGGAGCCTGCTTCTCCCTCTGCCTGTGTCTCTGCCTCTCTCTCTCTCTCTCACTGTGTGCCTATCATAAATAAATAAAAATTATAAAAAAAGAAATTTTATAAAGGATCCAAATATGTCCTTTTTAAACTCTAAAATGTGCATACTTTTTGAGTTTACAATTTCCAGCAAAATATTCCAAAACACTGATTCTCAAAGTGTACTACCTAGACCAGCAGCATTTGTATCACTGGGAATTTACCAGAATAACAGTTTCTGAGCCCTACTCCAGAACTACTGAATTGAGCCATCTGTACTTAGAGGCTTTTTAGTGGAAGGTTTTACAATTATGGATTAACTTATTCGCTAGACATAGGACTGTTAGGATTTTCTCATTGTTCTGGTGTTAGTTTTAGTAAGCTGCATTTTTCCTCCTATTTACTTGTAAGAGCCCTTTATATATTAAAGATACTAGCTCCTGGGGAGCCTGACTGACTCAGTTGGTTAAGTGTCTGACTATTTCAGCTCAGGTCATGATGCATTTAAGTTTTCTAATTTAGTTGCACAGACTGTTCATAATATCCTCTTATCTCTTTAATGTCTGTAGGATCTGTAGTGGTATTTCCTTTTTTTGTTTTTGATATTTGTAATTTGTGCCTTCTCTTTTTTTCTTGGTCGGTCTTGTTTAATCTTAATCTGATGGAGGATCAGTCAGATTCCTGATTTTATAGGTTTATGTCTTATGCCAAGTTTGTGATGTTTTACACATTTACTTCTTTTTTAGTACCACACCTTTTTTCCTCTCCTTCTGAGACTGCAATGATATTTCTGCTAGTTTCTTTTCAGTCTCTTTTTGGTCTGTTGTTTAGATAGAGTAATTTCTATTGTTCTGTCCTCCAATCCAAAGATTCTTTCCTCTGTCATATTTATTCTGCAGTTGAGCCCATCTTACGAGTTTTAAAATTTTAGTTACTGTATATTGTCAGTTAAGAAATTTCTATTTTTTTTTTACATCTTCTATTTCTTTACTGAGGCTTTCTAACTTTTTACTAGATTTAACAATGTTCACAATCACTCGGTGAACCTTTTTATGAATGCTGCTTTAAAATCCTTGTCAGATAATTCCAATATCTGTGTTATCACAGAATTGGTGTCTGTTAATTGTCTTTTCTCATTCAAGTTGAGAGTTGCCTGGTTCTTGATATGGCAAGTGAATTTCAGTCTCATTCTAGAAAGTTTGGGCATCATGTTGTGAGGCTCTGGATCCCATTTAATCTCCTTTTTTATAGGCAGTTACCCTGGTTAGGTGTAGTATGCAGGTCCAGGTGGGGGTAAATGGTCATCTCCTTACTGAATCTTACCAACATGGAAATGGAGGTTGCCTTGGTAAAAGGAGGCAAATGGAGGGCTGGTGTGGCTTCCTTGCTCTTGGTGAGGATAGATGTTCAGGTATCAAATGCATCCTGCTGACAGCAGCTGATGCTCTCTGGGTGAGGAAAGTGGGATGCACTACCTCACATTGCCTCATCCTGTTGCTGCTGCTGCTGCTGCTAGGTGGGTGTAGAAATTCAGTTCCCTGTCTGGCTCAACTGATAGGACTCCTGTGGGGTCCCCTGCCTTGCTGGTGCCAGACAGGTCCAAAAGTCTTGCTCACTGCTTGGCCCTGCTGAACCATGAAGGGAGGATGGTTTTTCTTTTTGTGTTTGGCTACAGTAGGGTATATTATCAAAATGACTTTCTATTCCAATAGGGCACGCTTTTCCTAGTCCTTTGACTACAGGGAACAGGTTTCTTGGGGCTCTTTTGTCTGTACCTATTGATGATTCCATGGCACACCTCTCAAGTACCCCTTCCTGAATATATGACAGGTTAGAAGAAAATCCAAGGAATCACAACCAATCATTCCGCAAGTCCCAAAGGCCCCAGCCAGTCCGTTCTCTCTTTGAGTCTTCCTCTGTTTGCTGTGTTCCATCCAAGGTTTCCAATTATAAGAGGTGGAAAGAACAAGGAATGTAGCCAATCCGTCTTTGCTGAAACCACAAATACCATTAGTTTTAATATATTTTCATTATTGTTCAGTTAAAAGTATCTTCTGATTTCACGGTGATTTTTTCCCTTAAGCCAAGGGGTATATAGAAGTGCTTTACTTCAGGTGAAATGTGATGACATCTGGAATTTACTTCAAGAAGATATAGAAGGAGAAAGTGGGTGACGGCATAGATGAAATATAAATTGGTCACAAGTTCATTGTTTTTAAAAGCCAGATGATGAATTTATGAGAGTTCATTACAGTCTTCTGCCTACTTTTGTATGCAGCTGTTTAAATTTTTCCAGAAAAAAAAGGTGTTGATTATTTTCCAAGCACTTGAAAGTTTTCTATTTTTTTGTTACTGATTTCTGATTCAATTCTCTGTGCTTAGAGAATATCTCTATATTACTTCATTCTACTGAAACGTACTGTTGTTCTATGCCCTTGCATATGCCTTCCATTTTAGTTAATGTTCCCTGTATTCTTTTTCTTTTTTGGGGGTGAGGGGATGTAGCAAAGGCAATTCTTTTTTTAAAATTTTATTTTAAGAAAACAAAAATGTGTATTCTGTTGTGATTGGCTAAATGTTACATATATGTTAGAGTAGTTGTTTGTTGATTACGTTGTTCAAATCAGTTATACCCTTATAATTTTATCTGCTTTTTTCTATTAGTTACTGAGGAAGTTGTGTTAAAAATCTCCCATAATAATTACAGATTTGTATATTTCCTCACGTAGTTTTGTCAGTTTTTGCCTACTGTATTTTGAGGTTTTGTTATTGGGTACATACAAATTTTAGATTGCTTATCTTCTTGTTGAATTGACCCATTTATCTCTATTTATCTCTAGTAATAGTGTTTCTAGTGATATTCTTTGTGTTTACTTTGTCTGATATTAGTTATACCAGATTTCTTTCAGTATATGTTCACATGGTATATCTTTTTCTAGCCTTGTCTACTTTTCTTTGTCCTAGTATCTAAATATGTCTCTTATAAGGAGCTTATAGTTGGGCTTTTATTTCTTTCATTTTTTAAAATCTAGTTTGTCTTTGGAGTATTTTAGTTCATTTAACTTAATGTAGCTACTGCTATATTTGGCTTAAATCTATCATCTTATTCTCATTTTCTATATTTTAATCATCTTTTGATTTCTTTAAATTGTTTTTTACTTCTGACTTATTTCGTATTTATCAACAAAATTTAATGATTCCATTTACTTATAAACTTGATAGCTATACATCTTTAAACTATTCTTCTAGTGATTATCATAAAGATTTTAACATTACCTTGATTTACATTAAATTTGTACATTTACTTAAAAATTTCAGATTTTTCTTTATGATAGGCTCCTGGAAGTGGGACACTTGACACATGGCATGAATACTTTAAGGTATTTGGGACATATGCTCAAGCAACCTTCCAGAAAGGTTATATCAATTAATATTCCCATCTATGAAAGTTTTTGTTTTATTGAGCCATCATTATGTAATTAGATAACTGTGCAACCATCCGATAATTACTGCTTTAAAAATCTGTTTACGAGGTGAGTGGGGAAAAAAAGTAATTTACAACTCTTTGACTATTTCTGAGGTTGACTTTTTATTGTACATTTATTAATCAAATAACCTTTTGCTTCCATGAATAGCTTATTTATATCCTTGGACATCTTTCAATTGGAATATTTCTGTTTTTCTTATCAGTTTATAAGAACTTATTTGAATTAGGAATAATTTTTTGTCAATCATTGAAAACAGACTTTCCTTGTTTAACTCTTACTCTGTAATTACCTTCCTTGCTAATCATTAGAGGGGAAGAAAAGTAAAAAATATCCTGGCTGCAGCTCAAGACACAAGAACAGGCAGTGAGTCAAGGATTTTGCTTCTCTTAAAACTATCAAGTGTCTGTAAGAACTGATTACATAACATTTTTCCTCTCATGTCATCAAAGTTAAAAATAAAGAATGTAGTTTATGGCTTTTTAAGATAGCTGTTTCTGTTGCCAGTTTGCATAAACACTCAGTGGTCATCTTGTTCATGATAAAAGCTGACAAGACCATTAAGTATAGTTTATTAGTATGATATTCTCTATAGGAAAATAAATGTCTTCTGATGGACTTTATAATCATTTGGCTTCAAAGCAGTGTTAGATTGGGCAAGAGAGCGAGGTGAATCCATCTAAAAAATATTCGCTAACCTTTATGAGCAGTGGAAAGAAGAAAACAGCTGTCTAGTCCACCGCGGTCACTGGGAAGGTGAGCCCATTGGATGACCTTAAGGTTTGCTCCAGGTGAGACTGCAGGGAGGCATCGGGGAAGTATCCTTAGTTATGTGTACCCCAGGCAGGGATGAGCAGAGTACCAACAAACCTACCTTATTCTAGTTTTAGTAGAAAAATCTATTGTTCCAATGTTTTCAGTTTTAAGTAAAAGCCTGGGGAAAAGGTTTCATTTGTTTAAATAGTTGGACATAAACGAGAAAACTTTACAAAAGTATGTGTAAAGGGCAGCACACTTTGATACTGTCTTTATAGATATTTAACACGTACTTAAGCACATTTTGAAACTGTCTTCACAGATAGAGAAGGTATTTGGGTTTGAAAGAGAAAAATGGACATCAGTGAATATTTCACACACTCATCTACTTACCGTCATACTGCAGAAATCCATTTGTATCTTTCGCTATCTCAGACTCTGGCTGGAAAAAATAACAAGAACCCATCAAAACTGTGCAGGGCAGAAATAATACAATTATAGAATGAAGAGGCGATAAACTTTTACTAAATTCTTTGGAAGACGAGGATAATTAAAATCAGAGCCACACCAATAAGTAATGCCATCTAGTGGATAAGTGGCATTACTGCAACCCCTCACCCCAAAACCTCTGTCCCCTAGCAAACGCTTTTTGGATGTAATTTAATTAACTTTGCTACTAGAACTTTGTTGTATTAAATGAATGACCTAAGAAGATTTATAAATACCTTAAAGAAATCATCCTGAGATATGACACTGCAGTTTGGGAGGTGTTTCTGCAAATTCTTAGCCAGTGTTGTCTTCCCGCCATTTGTCACACTGAACAGAAAAAGAAAAAAAAAATTGAAAATACCAAGAAGAAATATGCATTAAAAAAAAAGATTTTATTTATTTATTTGAGAGAGAGAGGGAGAAGCACCTTCCTGCTGAACAGGAAGCCTGCCCCATGTGGGGACTGGATCCCAGGACCCAGGACCATGACCTGAGCCAAAGGCAGATGCTTAACTGCCTGAGCCACCCAGGCGCCCTGAGTAGCACATTTTAGTGCAAGTACATAAAATTGCATGTGGCCACTGTGATTTTGTTTCAGGGCACCATGGAGAAAAGTGGAGGACTGGCTTCTGACAAGCCACTTATAACTCAATCACATCTCTGCTGTGATGCCCCCTTTATCATTAAATCTCTGTCCACTTTGGGGCTTGATGGGAAGTCCAGTGAAGCTTATTACATAGAGTCAGTTACATGTCCCTCGTGGCTGGACTGTGTGACGTGGAGGAGAAGGCGGACCTTGGCTAATTCCTCTGTGTACCTAGTTTGCCAGAGTCTAGCACTACACAACAGCACATGAGAGGGCCTTCTGTAGTCACTCATTCAGTTAGAGCTTTCATTAACCTGGGGCTGCTGCCTCAAAGGGTTTTGTGGACTGATTCGTGGACTTTGTGAACTTGAGTGGGAAAAGAAATGGCATTTTTTATATATTTCTATATACTTTTATTATACTCTAACAGAATTTTAGCTTTTCCTTTAATTATAAATATAAATAACAAACGTCAGTAGTATTAACAGAACCTGTGAAATTTGTTGTCGATAGAAATCAGAGATATTTTCATATCATGGTGCAGTTGGGGCAGATATCTTGAAGCGTGATCAATACTCATTATTATTTCAAATTGATGGCAGTTTTTAGACTCACCACTGGACACTGTTATTTAGTAAATTAACAAAGAAGTGTATCACAAAGTGATGATTTGTTTTTTAAAATATTTTATAGCTAAATTTCATTATAATAGGTTTCCTTTATATTTTTGTTTTTATTTTTTAAAGTTTTTATTTATTTATTCATGAGATACAGAGAGAGAGAGAGAGAGGCAGAGACACAGGCAGAGGGAGAAGCAGGCTCCTTGCAGGGAGCCTGATGTGGGACTCAATCCCACGGCCTCAGGATCACGACCTGAGCCAAAGGCAGACAGATGCTCAACCATTGAACACCCAGGTGCCCCTCCTGTATTGTTTTGTGCATTAAAAAAAAAAAAAAAGATTTTACTTATTTATTTGAGACAAACAGAGAGAGGCAGAGATGTAGGCAGATGGAGAAGCAGGCTCCCCACGCAGAGGCTGATGCAGGACTCAATTCCAGGACCCTGGGATTACAACCTGAGCCAAAGGCAGACGCTCAACCACTGAACCACCGGGGTGTCCCCTATTTTGTGTATTTAAAACCGAATTTTCATGGCACAAAAAACTCTTAACTGCATATTTATTTGCAAGAACCTGTGCTTAATCCTAGGTGAGATACATTGCAATGTATTTATAATCTAGACAAGAAACTAATATTCATTCACCAAAATTGTTTACTGACTATAATTCAATTATTACCTAAATACCTTATACCTACAAAGTACAAGGAACTTGATTCAAAAGTTTTTTTTTTTTTTTTTTTTGCCTTAGAATACACAATTGGGTAGGATATGGGCATAGTTATCTTGGAAAAGACAGGAGATGTGCTTGGGTGGCTCATTCTCTTCAGCATCTGATGCTGATTTTGGCTCAGGTCCTGTTCCCAGGGTCCTGGGATCAAGCCCCAAGTTGGCTCAGTGGGGAGTCTGCTTCCTCCTTTTCCTTTACCCCTCCCCCTGCTTGTACTCTCTCTCAAATAACTAACTAAATAAACAAATCTAGAAAGAAAGAAAGAAAGAAAGAAAGAAAGAAAGAAAGAAAGAAAGAAAGAAAGAAAGAAAGAAAGAAAACAAACAGGAAAGTGGGTGGGTTTACCCTTTGCCTTGGAGAAATACTGGTATAAAATTTCTCCTCTTTAACAAAAATGTCTATAATTCACACTGAGTTTCCATAGTTCAGATACTGAACTTTGGCTTAAAAGAAATAGTAAACAGGGCTAACTTTATTATAGCATGAGCAACCTAGCCAGAAAATGTGTCATTTTCGAGACTTATCTCTTTCAAATGATACACAGTCAAACCAACACTGACTTAACTGGAGACAGTGAGAAGCAAGCACTCCAGTTTTGAAGACTTGGAGGAGACAGACCAGACAATATAGGTCAGAGAGATGGGAGGGGGGATTCAACAAGAATTTAAAAGAATTTAGCAAGTCGGAATTGCACAAGTTCATGCCTACGATCCATACTAGGAATCCTGGTCAGGTGACACCCTTAAGACTAACTCTTCTCTTTCAGCATGCTCAAAACCACCACGCACCACCAAATTCCTGACCACCGTCACGTGCCCTCCCACCTCAGGGCAAGAGTCCCCAGACAGGTGCATGCTTTATCTTAGGGTAGGGGGAAGGAAAATGAATAACTGGGGACACTTCCTTCTTTGTTCACAACAGCCAAATAAATGCACAGGTCCTGGTCCATTTGTTTTTTGTTCAAGACACAGGAGGGGGAGTGTATTTGGAATATGACAGTGGGCTAAGCAGAAGTTAAAAAGGCTGTCTATAGGTACTTAAGAGGAAAATCCTTTCTGCAGCAGGCAGATATTCATATTACTATTTTACAGTTGAGGAAACTAAGGACTGAAAGACTATATACTCATAAAACTTGCCCAAGGTACAACTAGCAAGTCATGAGGAAGGGATACAAAGTCTAACTCTAAAGCCCATGGATCTTTTTTTCCCCCAAAACCCTTAATATTTTTTAACATCACAGAATTCTGTGAGAATCTGTTGAAGACTATCTGCCCCTCGCCCAGAAAAATGAACATCTTCACACTGGCACTAAATTTTCAGGAGGATCCTGAATGACCCTTGACTCCTTTGGAACCCCTGCTATTCCTCGATGTCTTAACCAAATGATGACTTCATAGCAGAGCAAGTGGTTAAGTATACAAGGAGGATACAACACTGAGTCTGGAAGAAGGAAGAAAGGCAGGAACAGAGGTCACTGCAGCTGAGTCCCAGCAGGTGCTTTAAATGCACAGAAGCAGCATTAAAATGAAATCCTGGCACTCTCCAAGGAAGAGACAGTGAAGAAGAGGCTTTCTTAGCACCTAATACATGTGGCAAGGAAGCATGAGGCAGGTTTGTAGATCTGGAACATTGAGAAGAGGGGATTTTATTCCTACATACGCAGAATGAAAGTTGTTTTGGATGCCAGAGTAGAACTGGCAGCTGCCTCCCCAGGTTCTACCCCTGTTTCTGGGGTGTGGTTTGGACTGACCCGACTGTCAACCATAGAGCAGGGCCCCGCTAGCCTAAGCTAATCGGGGCAGGACCACCCATTTTGCCACAGTGACTGTGTGTATGTGGTACAGCTAGTCTGGTCAAAGAGAAACTCATGATTTGGAGGAGGAAAGGCATTTTTTTTTTTTTTTTTTTTACCCTAGTAGCAGGCTAAGAAATACAAATTCCCAGCACCCAGCGGTATCCCCTCGGGCCCAAAAAGTGGAGTCAACTCTAGGATGAATCCCAATGGATGAAGACACAAAGAAGAGATAGAAAGAAATGGAGTCTTCAGTGAGTTCCTGTATCAAACCTTTCCTGCAGCCTATCTGCCCCTGAAGCTGATACGTTTCTTTTAGTATTTATGGATAGTCTTCATACACCAGGATATTCAGATTCTGTTCCAGGTAACTGGTAACCACTGCATATAGTTCACCAGGTAAGTGGATAACTAAAAATTTCTGCAAGAAGATTCAACTGGTGGAGAGGTATGTAGGAAAGGTTAAGAGAGGGAGGCAATCAAGGAACGAGGGCCTGATTTAGGAGGGTGGCACTGAGTGCAGAAGGGGAGGCACAGCCAAGAGAAGCAATGCAGAGAAAAACAAAACTTTGATTCTGGTTCGATGGGAGCATGACAAGGCAGAGCTCTGACACCGGGTTCATCCCCTTTACCTCTGATTACTTACTATAGTAACATAATACAATGATCCCCCCCAAATTCCAGACTTTTAAGTCTCAAATATCTTATGAATTGGACTGCACATAATGTGTGTATTCACACATTACTCAGAAGAAAGCTGAACATAACACAGTAGCAAAGTAGACAGCGTCCTCTGGAGCTGGCGTTGGTGTCTTATTTGCATGTATACCTCTGGTACCACAGGTAGGGTGACCATATAATTGAGGATGCTTTTGATAGGGAGACAAACACAACTAATAACCATGCCAGGGCAACAGGTTCATAAGGATAATAAGGATAGGGACACCTGGGTGGTTCAGTGGCATGATCCCAGGGTCCTGGGATTGAGTCCCGCATCAAGCTCTCCGCAGGGAACATGCTTCTCCCTCTGCCTGTGTCTCTGTCTCTCTCTGTGTCTCTCATGAATAAATAAATAAAATCTTTAAAAAAAAAAAAACGGATAAGGATAGAAGGTGTCTAGTGTCAACTCCAGCAAAGAAATGGGAAAGCAGGCAGATTTTGCTTCCTGATGGTCCTCTTTCTCTAGGAGTCTCTAGGAGTCTAGGAGACTCTCCCATCTCCTGTTGCCATTTCTGTAGCCAGCATGCCACTGTTTTATATTTGCCAGGGACCTGCTCTCTTCTTTGGGACTCAGGAATCCTGACTCCTCCATCCCCTACCACATCCACATGGAAACACCCTTTGGACATCCTGAGTACCTCTACCAGTTGTTTGTAGCAAAATTACTCACCCACTGATTCCAATGACAAATGTTTTCATAATTAGCTTTGAAAATCAAGTCTTCCTGAAATTTCCTAAAATTAAACAAACAAACAACAAATCAAATGCTTATCACTGGGATGTCTAAAGAAGTAAAAGAAAGAGTCTGAAATTAAGAGAGCCAGCTGAGGGGGAAAGATGACCATGATCTCGGGTGACCGTGCCCCTGGATTAGCCACACTCAGTAGAAGAGCTTCACAAGGTACCAGCTTCTCTCTGCTAGACTGACTCTATGCTAAATGCAACAGCTGGTGTGTGCTCAACAGGCCAAAGTCTCAGAGAACACACATTACAGAGTCTCATAACTCTGAAACTCAGAGTTTCAAGATTCAGTTCCCTGGAGATAACCTATGTTATTTCCCCAATACCAGGATCCCACAGAGCTTGCCTCTCCCCTCTTCAGAAATGAGGGAAAAACATCACTGCTGGTCAGAGGCAAAAGGAAGTTAATTCCCTTTAAGGGTGTTATTTCCTTACTCAAAAACCTAAGTCCAAGGCCAGGATAGACAGATTTCTTCAGAAAAGGGCCAGGTAGTAAATATTTGAGGTTTTGTGAGCCCAGAGGCAAACTCAAGCTTATTACGTAGGTACTTACGTAACAAGAGAGAAAACAGATTTCTACAACGTTTTTAACGAAAGTCAAAACAAAATAATTGATTACAATTTTGTTGTTGTAATAAATGTCTACCAATGAGAAGAATGGAATTCCTTTCTGATTGGGATAATATTTCTTTTACTGGATTTCAAAGTTCGTGTTCTCAAACAGAAAACTTGGCAAACTTTCAGGCCCAGAGCCATATTTTAGCCACCAGGCCATTATCTGTTGACCTCAGATCTGGGGGGTGGGGAGTAGAAGGCAGTTTCACACAGGGCCCCCTAAGGTTCCATAAAGCAGTCCTGCAGATAGTCTAATGAACCATTTCTACCTCTTTATGGGAAAGATGAGCCTCAGCTGGAGGGGACCTCAGAATAGTGGTTCCTGAGGGTTGCCAGGACTAATGCTGTTCTTTATGCCCAGACTTCTCGGGTTGGATGATCAGGGATCTAAACTGGGCCACTGGGGTGAGTGGTCCCTGAGCTGGAGAACCCCCAGCAGCCCTCCCATTTCCTATCTGGCCCTGACCTATGTCCTAGCAAGTCCATTGCTTTCTTCTTTCCAACATGTTAAAAAGTACTTTATTACCAAGAGCAAAGAAAGGATGCTGCACATGTGCTAGCTTTATTGTGAGGCTCTCATGTATAATGGATGGCATTTTTATTGATGTATTATTAATGACTGAGCACACTGAAAGGCAAGGACTACTAGGTCCCCCTGCTTCAGGCCACATCTGTGCATACACCTGAGGATACTGGATCAATTACATAGCAGGGAAATAACGAGTGTGATTGTGGCACTGGCAAGATGCTTGAGGGGGGTTATTTGGGTGGAAACTAGCAATTCAGAAACAAAGGGTGAGGGAGAGTCAAGAACCTACTTACAAAATTGCTTGCATTCAGGAGGGGATTCCCGCAGTCAAATGCAAGTTTTTACCAAAACAAGAACCCTTAATTCTCTATTAGTTGGCTAATACAGCTATGACCCAAGACAGTGTTTGTGTCAATGTTGGGCACAGTCTATTAGCATTTAACAATGTGACAATGTGGTGGGAGGGGTGAGGAACTGGGAGAAGCAGAATCAAGACAGGTGCTGGGGTGAGGGTGGGCGGAGGAATCCTAGATGCCATTAATTTAAAAAACCTCATTGAATGCACAGGGCAGCACCAGGTGAACTGCAAATTCAGGAATGGAATTGTCTACCTCCACACCACTTGGTGTTATTACACTGCCTGTTGCCTTCCTTAAGAACTATTTTAAAATCACACTTAAAAACCTGCAGTCAAGAGTTGCCAGACTCCAGATACATGCAGCAGATTCCATAGGCGTTACAAGCTTCAACTACAAACTAAATCACTGGATGTCTCTGGAGAGACAACGGTTTGCAAATTTCAGTCTCATCAATCAGGGGCATCTGATTAGTAGGAAAATATACTACCTCCAATCTCATGGGATATTTATGTACTTTATTCTCCCAAAAAGTGCAAAGCTTTCTTCAACAGTAGAGTCATTTGCAAACGAGGTGGAGAACAAGCTAAAATAGCCAAGAGCAAACCCAAAATGAGTATTTAAATTTATTTTTTTACCCTAAGTAAGGTATGTTGCTGAGTCCTTTTTTCATCACTTGTATGTGCTTATTATGTGTATTCCACTACTAAACATGTGCATCTTGGATCCTAAACTGCAAATTGGTCAAGAGGTGGCATGTACAGAAATCAAATTATTAGGAAGGCACCAGCTCTCCAATACAAAGGGGACGACAACACGCGGATTGTGCTTCTCCATGCATCTAAAGGGCAGTCTGGTATTTTTAAGCCAGTGAAGTGTTTCAGGACTTCTCACTCACTTGCTTTATTCCACGGATATTTTGATTATCTTCTTTCCCCACAACAGGGAAGTCTTTTCCTACTATTGTTTAAATTCTGCTCCCTTTTAGTAAACAGAAATCTCCCACGGTAAGAATTTCTGAATACTCAACCCATGCATGCCCCCTTCCCGTGGAATCACTTTCCTCTTTCCCTAACCCCCCCCCCCCCCCCCCGGCGAAAACTTTCAAGCTTCACTTTAGATAGACTCTCACGTGAAGTTTTTTTCTCGTCACTTTTTTTTTTCTTCCCCCAAACATACAATTGGTTTCTAACACCGTGCTACCTGAAACTGAATGCATGCTGCATTTCTTGTTTGCTCCGGCCCTTGCCTCCCCTTGGAGAGTCCATGGGCTAGGCCAGGGGTCGGCCTACCTCAGTGAAATGCCAGGTAAGTCCATGATTTTATTAGGCTTTGAGGGCAGCCGCTCAGCTCTGCTGTCGCTGCAGAGAAAGCGGCCACCGGCGTTAGTCACATAAGCAAACGAGCGTGGCTTCGTTGTAGCAAAACTCCGTGGACACCGAAATTCGAATCTCTTATAATTTCCAAGCGCCCCCGAATCTTTTGATTTCTTTCCCGCCATTTAAACTGGTAAAGACCGTCCCCAGTTAGCAGGTGGCAAGCGGGTTGGGGATAAAAGTTTGCGACCTCCCTTAGGCACCAAGACTTGGCCCCCCCGAGCCTGGCGACTTGTCTCCACGACCTGTGTCACGTCTTGGGGGTGGTCTGTCACGGAAGGGCTCCTTACACGGCGTGAGAGCAGCCGCCGCACGCTTGGTCCCCGGCAGGCCCTGTGTCCGCCGGGTCCGGGCGCCAGCGCCCCGCGCGGCGTGCAGGGCGGAGCAGGCTGCAGCGGCGGGCCTCGGCGGCCGGGTCGCGCAGGTACTCACCGGGCGCGGGGCAGGGCCCTCCCAGGCCGAGCGGCTGAAGATGGCCGACCCGCCGCGACCCCCCGCGACCCCCGAGGCCGGCTCGCCTCCAGGCCCACCGCCCCTCCCTGCGCGCCCCTGCCGGGGCCCGGGCGGCCGACCTGGGCGGCCGACCTAGGCGATCCGTCGCACCCCGGGCGGGACGCGGTACGGGCTGCAGCGCCCGCGGGGCGGGGCGGGGCGGGGCGGGGCCGGCCGGGCCGGGCGGGGCGGGGCGGGACTCCGGCGACCGCGGCGCGCCTCGCTCCCCCGCGCCCTCCGCCCCCGCGCGCGCCCCGGGCCTGGTCGGGAGCGCGCGCGCGGCCGGGCCTGCGCCTGCGCCTGCGCCTGCGCGAGCCCGCGGCGCCCTCCCTCGGCCCCGGCGCGCTCCCGCCGCCGTGCGCGCCGCCCGCGCTCCCGCCGCGCCGCAGCTGCCAGCCCGGGAGCCAATGAGCGCTCGGCGAGTCGGCGGCCACTTCCTCGTCGGCGGGCCGCGCGCTCGGGAGGCTCGGGCGGCTGGGGCGGCCCCGGGGCGGGGCGGGGCGGGGCGGGGCGGCTGTGCCTGCGTGCGCTCGTCCGACGGCCGGCGGTGGGCGCAGGTCCCTGCAGGCGCGCGGCTGCGAGCCGGACGCGAAGGAGCTTTGGGGCCCCGGGAGTGCCGGCGGCGGGGCGCTCGGTTGGCTTTGCGTGCGCGGCGAGGACGCCCAGCCGCCCGGGGAAGCGCGATGTCGAAGCCGCCGCCCAAACCGGTCAAACCAGGTAAGGGCCCCCGCCGCCGGGCGCCCTGCGCTTCCTCCGCCGCTTGGCCGGGCACACCGCGCGCCTGCCCGGCCCGGAGCTTCGCTTTCGGGAGCCCTCCCGCCTGCGCCGCTCGCTTTGTCGCGTGCGCTGCTCGGAGGGGTCGTTTTGGACAACGATTTCGAGGACTTAAAAAAAAAAAAATGTTAAAGAGGAGCCCCTCCCTGGATTTCGCGACCTTGTCCTTCGCTGCAACCTTCTAGTAGGGGTGATGGCCCCGGGCCCTTGGAGGCTTGGTCGGAAGACAGGGCTATTGATCCCTTTAGGGTAAAAAGAAAAAAAAAATGTCTCTGTGTGCCTTGAAATGGGCTTTTGGTCACTTCCTCTTTTTTTTTTTTTTTTTTCTTTCTCGTGTGTGTCACTGTCAGGTTAGAGTTCTTGACCGGCCGGAGCGAACGGGAAGTGCGCCGCTTGCAGGGTGGGGTGGGTGAGCGAGTCTCCTTTGGGACTTTGGAGACCAGACGCCTTTGAAGTTGCCCTCGGGATCTTGGAGAAAAGCATTTAGAAAACTCTGTACGCGGCTCGCGCGCGGCGAGGGAAGTCCGGGCTGCTTTAGGGTCTTGTGGGCTGTTGCTCTTCGGGAGTGACAGTCACGCAGTACGAGTCCTTTGCCTCCCCCCCCCGCCCCCCGCCGTGAATTTGCCGTCAAAGCTGTGTTCTTGGTCCTTAGTCTGTTCGTTTTGTGCGATAGGGAGAGAGGAGAATGTGGAAGGACCGATGTAGTTCAGTTCAAGGCTGTAACAGACTCGTGCCTTCATCTGGCGAGTAGTCGCGGGAAACGTAGGAAGTGGCAAATAAATTGATACACTCCCGGGTCTTTTCTTCTAATCTCCTGTGACTCCAGTATAGCCCGAGCTGATAGGTACCCATTTAACGTCAAATTTCTTTTTTTTGAAATTTTTATTTATTTGTGATAGTCACAGAGAGAGAGAGAGAGAGAGAGAGAGAGGCAGGGACACAGGCAGAGGGAGAAGCAGGCTCCATGCACCGGGAGCCCGACGTGGGATTCGATCCCGAGTCTCCAGGGTCGCGCCCTGGGCCAAAGGCAGGCGCCAAACTGCTGCGCCACCCAGGGATCCCCTAACGTCAAATTTCGAAGTGACCTTGGCTGCAGGCACTACACCTTCCATGATTATCTAGTTTTCTTTCATACAGTAGCCTTTTCAAGCCATTTGATGTGAAAATTATGTGCATACTCATATATAGGACAGTCATTCACTGAGGGCTTGCTTTTTTTTTTTTTTTTTAAGTGGGCCGGGTATGAAGGAAGTTGCTGGGACTTTGACTTTGCGGTGAGCAAAGATGGGGTGTGGCTAGTATTGGGCTCTGGGCTTCTTTTTAGGTGGAATCTGATGAGAAGTTAGCATTTTAAGTGCACGTGTGGGAGGTGGCAGCCTTCTAAATTCAGATGTAAATCAGACTTCAAGTATCCAACAAAGCTGAGTTGTTCTTTGATGGCTAAACAAAGTACTTTATTTTAAAGGATGTCCTGAGAACTTAGTTGTTCTTGAGGTTTTTTTCCCCCCTCACAAGACTTTTAAGTGGTATCTGTGCTGCAGCTGGAGGAGCGTTGACCAAGCGGTGGGAGTGTGACCATGAGTACTGGTGCGGAGGCCAGTTTGGATGGAGGATCATACTGTTACCAGTTGGGGGTACACTCCCAGAAACCAGTTTTTGGTGATTGGACACCACTGCTTTCCCCTTTCTCCTTCTCTTCAGCAAGTCAGAAAGCAAAGGGTTGAAAATATCTGCCGTTTTAGAGAGAGCTTTGACTCCACGCCGATTGACAAATGAGATCCAAGCTCAGGGTCACTGTAGAAATCGGTGTGTTAGTTTACGAATTGACAATGAGAAATACTACTTTCAATCGGGCTTGAAACATCGGGTGGCCTGGCTTAATGGAAAACAAAACTGCGCTATTATAGTCCTGGTCCACATTTACTGTGTGCCAGGCACTGATCTAATCACTGTACACGTATTAACTCATTGACTCCTCACAGCAACGCTGTGAGGTCAGCCCCGTTATTGTTCCCATTGCACAGGCTGGGATATTAAGGCGAGGCACAGAAAGGTTAAGTCACTCGCCCAGGGTGGTAGGAAGGAGCAAGTAGGATTAGCATCCAGGTCGCCAGACTTCAGAATCATAATGCTTTCCTGCCTTACGCCACCGTGTACCATTGACATGCGTGGTCTTGTGTATTTTAGAGCTGGTGGGTGGAAGAGAAAAGGAAAGTGCCTGTGGTCCTCAGATCTTCTGGTCACAGATGCACATAAAGGTCACTCCCTGGTTGGTAGCTGTGAGGAGAGTGAGCTTTACTTTCTTGTCCTGCAGGCAGGATGCGAGGGTGAAAAATTCTGAAACAACTTGGAAATGGGGATAGGGGGTTGTATTTAATTTTTGGTTTCTTGGTTTGTTTATACCTGGCCTCCTCCCAAATGAAAGTTAGAAAGAGAGAGAGAGAGAGAAGGAAGGAAGGAAGGAACAAAGCAAGCAAGCCAGCCTTGTAGAGGGAGGGAAGAATAATAAGAGGAAACCAGAGGAAAAGTTAGCTTACAGACATGTGTGTCCTAAGGTCTGCCAGGGTTTCTAAAGGGTGGCTGTAGATTTGGCTCTTGGCTTCCAGCATAAAGATAAAAGATCAATTATAGGATTCCTACTCTTTGTAAAAATAAAATGTGTTCCTTTCTCAAGGAGGAGTTATTTTAAAGGCACTGAGATCTGAAATAAACTTCCCCTGGGCCCTCTCAAAGTGTTGGAGTGGACCAGACATCTCTACAAGAAACACAAGCGGGACATTATAGTGGTGGTCCCTATAGCTTCCTGCAGAGCAAGACCCAGGCAAAACAGCATGGTTCAGTTCTGTAGGCAGGGCTAAAGGGAGGGAGCTAGGAGGCAGGACAAAGGACTTAATGGAAGATTTTAATAGCAAGGGACATTAAGCTATAATGTGGATAAAAGTATCTTTTGGGATGATCGGCATATAGCTCATAAAAGTACCATTTTCTTTTGCACCTTCCTGAGGTTATATCAGACTTTGGGTTTGTGGCCATGTCCAAAATCCATTTGCTAAACATTTCTTAATATATGCAGTTAAGGGGTGCCTGGGTGGCTCAGTAATTGAGCATCTGCTTTTGGCTCAGGGTGTGATCCTGGGGTTCGGGATCGAGTCCCAAATCGTTCCTGGAGGGGAGCCTTCTTCTCCCTCTGCCTGTGTCTCTTCCTCTCTCTCTGTGTCCTTATGAATAAATAAATAAAGTCTTAAAAAATATATATATATATATATATGTATGGAGCTAATATTTTAGGCCTTGTGCTAGACATTGGGGTTCCCAGGAACAATAAAATAAGGTCTCATCCATGAAAGTATGGAATCTGATGGGGGAGATTTAGGTGTAATATAGATAATATCTAAATTGACCCATATCTGTAATTGGATGACTGATCTTACCCATTTTGTTTGGAAAAAATCTTGTTATTAAAAGTAAAAGTGATCAATTTTTTCTTCTTTCTTATTTTTTTCTTCAAACCTTGTAATACATATTTTTGTTTTAGAGAGTTTAGAAAATACATATAGAAAGAAAGATCATCCCTACCTGTCTAGTGATAATCACTCCTTTCTCTCAGGTGTTATTTTTCTTCTTCAATTCTGTTTCATTAAAAAGAGAAAATACAAATGATTATCCTCAGAATGGTGTCTCAGTTTCAGTTTTAAGTGTTTTACTGTTGATTGGCCTGTTTCCTACTGTGGCTGTACTATTGCCTATGCTCTGACAAATCAGTTGTCACACTTTGACCTTTCCTTGCTTACTGATGTCTTTTTATAGGGTCACTTTTGGCCACTCAAGGTCTGTCACTGAAACTCTCCCCTCTAATTGTTAGCTGCCACCATAGGGATCAGTCTGCTAAAAAGTGTCACGATTTCATGGTCTTCATCTCATTCTTCATGGGACCCTCCTACCTCCTTGGGACCAATGCGGCCTCTCAGTTTATCCATATAGCATTATGGTTCTTGTCAGCCACCCTCCCAAGCCTTCACAGTTCAATTAGGGTGAACCTGCCAGACTTGACACAGTGTAGATGACAACTTGTGTTCTCACAAAGACTTTTCTCAAAAGAGACTTCATTCTGAGACTTTATTCTGTAAAGACCAGCCAAAGGATATTGAGTGAGATTTGGACTAGAATCATCTCATTCTAAGCCGGTTTGATATCCCTCCATTGTAGTAGGAAGTCTGATGTGTGACCTTGACCAATTCTGTCAAATGGCTTATTGATTTGGGTGGTGGAAGTAAAGCAGCATAAATATTTTATGTGTCTTAGGAAAACAAATTCATGGGACTTTGAAGAGGCAAATTGTCAGTATTTGGGGTTCTTTTGTATTTACAGTAAAAACATCATAAACTTCAAAGATGTCATCCATATGCTGCTTATATAACATTATTGAGAGGAAAAAAAGTCTTCATCTAAGATGATCTGAACTTTTGTGTATTTTTCCCCCCTGAATAAATGAATTAGTCAAAGGTGACAGTATGGGGTTGGCTAGGAATATGCACATGGATAGTGTCCTTCATAAACATTGTGCTCCATTTATGCCTGGTGGCAGAATAAAGTTTGGGAAACATTTTGAAAATTCCAGAATGATGACGATGATTGTAATAGTAATAGTTAACATCTCTTTGGCCCTAAGTGTTAGGTACCGTGCAAAGCACTTTGTATGCTCCATCTCATTTAATTATTATAACTTCCCGATGAGGTGGGTCCTAATATCCCCATTTTATGAGTGAGGTAGTACTTAGTGAGGTTAAGTAAACCGCTTAAGGTCTGAGAGCTAGGAAGTGGTTGGTTTGACCTGGGAATGAAACACAAGCTTTAAGTGGAAGCGATTTTCTTGGGCAGAGAAATCTATGAGGATTCTGTTAGTTTGGACTGGCTTTTGTTGGGCAGCGGCCTTTACTAACTTG